TTATTAAACAAAGCTTTAAAGTTATAGCAAACAGGGAAGATTTTTCTAGTATCTTTTAAGATTTCAAAGACTGTAAGAGGACCCATTAGAGCAAACCTCTTTCCAGCAACGTTAGTTGGAATTAGTACCTGAGAGGCGTAAAGCATTTCCTTCTCTTTGGAGATCATTTGGGGGATAAGCACAGATTGACCTTGATAAGTACCAACCTTGCTTTCCATTATTGTTCCTGTGTTCTTTCCTTTCTTTTTGGAAGTTTTCTTCAGTTGGGATGATGTTGTGGAAGACATTGTTGAAGATTGTTGGAAGTTTTTAGGGTTTTCGGTGAGAAGAGAGGAAGAAAAGTTTCAGAATGTGGAAAAGAATAAAAGACTAAGTTGATTGGTTTTTATAGTGTGGAAGTTTAAACATCCACTAAGTGAGACTAGGATACGTGGGAGTCGTGGGTTGGATTGAGAAGGAGGTGGCGGAAAGGCTGATATTGGTAATAGGCGTGATTAATAATAATCATTGTTTTGTAACTGCACCATGCTGTGAAATACTGATTCAAGACGGTTAAGGAATCCAAGAGGCGTCGTGATTGACGTGACTGGAGTCATACACAATAAATGTTACGATTACTCAAAGGTCACATCAAAATCTTGCATATATATTTAAAATAAGTGTTTCTCAAAGGATCAAAATACATATTTTAAAGGGGCATTTTGTTGGCTGAAGATTTTGATGGCACAGTTCGAAACGAAGCAAGTTGGATGTTTCGTTGGGAAAAAGCAAGATGTTATGGTTCGGAATGGTAGAAGCAGTTCTTCGAACGAACATGTCAAAGCTCGGAGCTTCGAGTGACAGTTGTGAAGATATATTTAAAAGAAGCCTCGAAGTGGTAATGAGACTATGTTTAAGAAATAAGTTCGAAGCGAAGAGTGCCAAAACATTTGAAATTCAAACGCAAGCCGGATGTTCGAAATTTAAAATATATGCGCTGGAGCATTCGAAGACGCGTGGAAGCTAGAAAGGAGCGGTGCTCTGCATGTTCTGAACGTGGCAGAATCTTATAGGCAATACCGTTATGGTCGAAGTAGTATAAATAGAAGTCTTAGTACTAGGATTTCGTGTGTCATATCTATTGTACAAAATTCAGTAAACATTCAAAATACCACATGGCTAGGGAAACGAATGCTCGAACAATGTACGTATGATAACACCAAATATTTATGATTCAGTAAAACTCTTTATCATTTCCAGTTTATCTTCTATCTTCATGTCAATATCATTCAAAAGCCTTTACATTAAAGTATTTTCATTCAAAGTCATTTACTGATTTCTTGCATTTAAACGCTTTCTTTCTATTTCGAATCCTTTACATTTCAGAAATTCTTTTACATTTCATGTTTTTATCTTCATGCTTTTGTCACTCGAATACCTTTTCATTCAAAGTCATTTACTGATTTCTTGCGTTTAAACGCTTTCTTTCTATTTCGAATCCTTTACATTTCAGAAATTCTGTTACATTTCATGCTTTTATACTTCAAAGTTATTTACTTGTTTCTTGCAGTTTTATATTTCTTTGCAATCGAATCTTTATTCATGCAATTTAGTTTCGCACGTCTTTACTTGATCATGTCATTAGATCCTTTTAATATGGTAATCGAAGTCAGTTGAACGTCTATAAAACATTCCAAACACAAATCCTAACTATGAATGTCAGTTTTACAATTAGAACTATCCAAACGACCAATACCCCATAGGATCAATCTAGTCGATCCTGCAAGTTACCAGAGAGATTAAATAACAATCATTAAGATTATTTGATAGTTTGGAGGACTAGCGGTTGTTTACCAGAAATCACTGTGAACAATGGGTGAGGATAATACACTTCTGGTCATGATCACATAGGATAATTATGGAAAGGAAAATCTGTTGGATAGCAGTAGTAGCAACTGTCAATGGTTGGACAACAGCATCTACAGTGCAAAAAATGCTACAGAAACGTGTTAAGAGTAAAACGTGATGATAACCGTCCGAGATGGAGTCCAAGACAGTGTTGAGTGGTACTTGGATTATGGTTTTTCAACACATATGATGTGTAGAAAGGATTGGTTTGTCAAAATCAATTAAGCCACAAAGAATAGAGTAAAATTCATGGATGACCCCACTTTAGCAGCCGACGGTGTGGGTGAAATTTTGATCAAGAAGAAGGATGGAAGTTACTCCTTGATCAAATATATGCTACACATTCCTAGAATGAAATCTAACCTCTTAAGAATTGGCCAATTGCTTGAGAAGAATTACACTATTTGCATGGAAAATAAGATTTTGCGCGTTTTAGACCAAAATGGAGTTTTAATTCTTAGAGCACCCATGGCTTCAAATCATACTTTCTAGATAGAGTTGAAAGTAATGGAACACAAGTTTCTTGCTACAGCGGCAAGTCGTGATGAGTGTTTGTGGCATTACCATGTGGGACATCTCAATTTTAGAGACCTCGATGCGTTACAAAGGAAAGGTATGGTGACCGGGCTGCCCAAGATTAATATTCCAGCTGAGATTTATGAAGAGTGTGTTCATGAAAAATATCACAATAATAATTTCAGCAAGGATGCAGGTCATAAGACCAAACATCATCTTAAGATGGTGTACCCCAACGTGCGTGGTCCAATGCAAGTCGACTCATATGGTAGAAATAGGTACTTTGTCACTTTTATTAACGATTTTAGTAGGAAACTATAGATTTATCTAATCATTGAGAAAGATGAGGTGTTCGATGTGTTCAAATGTTTTAAATCTATGGCGGAGCGATAATGTGGTCACTAGTTGAAAATTCTCAAAACAGATGGTGGATCTTAGTATTCCTCGAATGGTTTTGGGAATTATTGTGACAATGAGGGTATAGTGCGTGAGGTTGTGCCACCTTATACGCCTCAGCAAAATGGTGTCACCGAGAGAAGAAATAACTCAATAATGAATATGGTTCGTAGCATGTTGAAGGGAAAAATATTGTCAAAAGAACTATGGGGTGAAGTCGTATCTACAGCCGCCTATTTGTTGAATAGTTGTCCTACTAAGAAGCTGGACAAAGTGACTCTAGAAGAGGTATGGTCTGGACATAAGCCAAGTTTAAGTCAATTGAAGGTTTTTCGGTTTGATAGCATTTCGACATATTTCGGGTCAGCTTTGAAACAAGCTCCTAGAGCTTGTAACAAACGCATAGATGCTTTTCTAGTTGAGGTTGGCTTCAAGATATATGTATGCGAACATGGTGTTTATGTGAAGACGGATGCAAGAAAAGATGGGATTATACTTTGCTTATATGTGGACGATTTATTGATTACGGGCAACAATGAAGTGATTATTTCTAAGTTCAAAAGTGAGCTTATGGAAGAGTTTGAAATGAGTGACCTTGGAACCATGACTTACTTTCTTGGCATAGACTTCCACAAGTCAAAATTGGGACTGCTCATGCATTAAATAAAGTACGCTCTCGAGATCTTGAAGAGGTGTGATATGTAGCATTATAATTCTACTAATACATTAGCTGAAGCAAGGTTGCGGCTATACAAAAGTCAAGATGAGGAAGATGTGGTTCCAACAAAATATAGGAGGTTGATTAGATTGTTACATTACTTGTGCAATATGCAACCATATTTGGCGTTTAGTGTCAGTATTGCAAGTAGATTCATGGAGAGAACAAAGGTTTCTCACTTGGAAGCATTTAAGAGGATTCTAAGATACATCAAAGGAATTCTTGGTTGTGGAATTCTCTTTCCTGCAACTGATACAGGCAAAAATTGCGAGTTTATCGGTTACACGGATTCTAATTGGTGCGTGTTGTACCCCAAATTTTGACCTAAGATACCATCTCCCATCTGCATCATTGCATTGCAAGGGTTTTGACATATTTTTATCAGTTTTCAAAGCTGATTTCAAAATTCTTAACTTCTTCCAATTGTGATATTTTTTTTTTGAGCGGTTGTTTTAGCACATGATTTTTCCCTGACATCATCTACAACTTTTCTTTATAAGTCAAGGGCAAATTATGCATTGAGAAGCCACGAAAATTGTTAACGTTAGAAGTCATTTTGTGAATTTAGTGAATTGCACTTAATTTCAACCGTGTTACCCGATTTTTACAAAATCATGCATATTGCATTTTTTTTGTCTTTAATCATCATTAATTTTATTTCATAAAAATCCTAAAATATTTATTTCATGTCATTGTAATTTTTATTTTAATTCAAAAATATTAAAAAAAATATCATTTAGATTTACACTTTTATTATTATCTCATTTTAATTCAAAAAAGAAGTTAATGATAATTTCATCCATTTTCATCATTTAATATTGCATATTTTAATTTTTTATTAATAGTCGTCATTTGTATCTTAATTCTTTTTATTATTATCAACATTTTTTTCTTCTTTTTATTTGTTACTATAACTACTACGTTTTTTTTCTTCTTTTGTAAAAAATATGGAAATGCAAGTTTGAAACCACAACACCGCTTCACACATATAATAATTCGATTTTTCATCCTAAATTCAATTTCAAATTCAAAAACAAAATTATATTTATCACAACTCTCTTTTTCATTTGCTTTTGGATCCTTTCCATTTTTGTGTAACAAAGACCATGCTTTTGTCTGGGTGCTAAAAAACAATTCCAACGGTCAAAATTGCTGCTACAACCCCTGCCTCTAAAACCTCATTCACGTCCACTGTTCAAAGGAGAGAAAAAACCTTGAAAAATGATCTTGGAACCAAGTAACTTAAAATACAAAAAGATACCACAAATCTAAAAACAAAAATTCATCAGCATCAACATCTCATAACCATAATCTACACTCAAAATAGCACTATGTAATACCACCCTTAACCTGCTCAAACTTATTTCTAACAACTTCCTCCCATTTTTATAAATCCTTCGTTACAGATCCTTCAACATCGCATCTTCGCCAATCACAACCTTAACCTCAGCAACACACTGCCTTAACAACAACAATCTCGATCATGCTCTTTCAAATCTTGTACTTCGTGCTACAAAAATCAAGAACCGGTTTCCATTCTGGTTGTCGCTGCGGAATTTACGGGTTTTTTTTTACGAATCCGCATAACAGAAACGACATCCGCCGCGCCGGAATCACGCACACACAGCCCAATTGGACCTCCTGTACTCCTTCTGCGAGGATCAGAACAGCCGTACCGCGAGCCAACCGACAAACTCCATCAACACAACTCAATAACATAACCTGCAAAACTGTATGCATCAGAAGAGAAAAGAGTGTTAACGTCGTACCTGAACCATTTGCCGCGTTGGATTCATCATCAGAAAACTCTTTCTTCACCGGTAATCTCTTCTGTTTCACTTCGGCTTTTTAGATTGTTTGGTGTTTGCGTGTTGCTGTTTATTTGTTTATATAGATATGTTGTTATTGATCTATGTTCAATAAACCAAGATTTGAAACAAGAGAGTTCTTTTGTTGTTGTTGAGCGATGAAGAGGAAAGGATGCGATTAAGAAGAAAGAAAAATCTTATCTGTGCTGAAGTTTGGTAAATGTTAGAGGAAGGAGATGGTGGTGTTGATGCGTTTGGGAGAGATAACCGTTAGCTTTTTTTTTCTCCAAGATTTAACCTTTAATTCATTTTAATTGGGGTATTAAAAGACTAATAATGAGGACCAAATCCCTTCACTGTTTTCTTTGTTTTATTAATAATAATAATAATATAATAATTCTTTTCTCTCTTCCCAACATAATAATAAATATAATTTTTTTTTTCTCTCCCTTTTCCCAAGCAGCCGCCGGCGCCCTCTTAACCTAATTAGGTTACCTCACTTTTATTCCTTCCCTTTTTTTTTGACCCGGTGGCCCATTGGGCCCAATTTAATCAATTCCAATTCCCACTTTTTCCTTTATGTTCTTATTAACTCATGTTATTAATGAATAAACAATATTAGCTCAATTGGTAAAAGGTGTTAGCAGCATTCTAAGTGTCCTAGGTTCAAGTCCTTGTTGGGACACTTTTCTATCTTTTATTTCTTTTGGCCATAATATTTAACATACTTAATAATATTAATTTAATTTGCTGTCTAATTAGTAACTATTAGAAAAAACATAAAAATGTTCAATTAAAATTTATCTTTATTTATTTTGTCAACATGCTATTTAATTCTTATTTTTATCTTGTCAACATACTATTTAATTCTTATTTTTTATTTTGTGTTGTTGTCTATTTAATTATTCAAAATATATGTTTCATGATTTAATTTTTGCCATGTGTTTAATTATCAAAAAATCTATGTTTTCTTAATTTAATCTTCATGTATTTTATTTATTTATTATTATTTATCTAATTTTTAAGATGCATGCTAGTATGATTTAAATTTCATTAGTTAATTGTTTAATTATAATTAATCGTTAATCCGCATATCTTTCGTCCGTTTCAATCCAAGGGAATTGTCTAATTTTTTTATCGACTTCATGTCATCAAAAAAATATCGTGCGAATACCCTCATTCATTAAAAACTTAGGATAATTTTCCCAAATGTCCAATTTCTTCAAAAACTCACACCTTTTAAGTCAAAACTTCGACATTAGGTCTTCGTATCTTCAAAAACCCGTCCGTACCCCTTTTCGGTCAAAACAATTCATTTTTTTTAATCAAACGAACATTTTAATAAACAGATATTTCAAAAGGTTCCTATAGAGTACTATAGATACATTGGGTGCTAATACCTTCCCATTGTATAACCAACCCCCGAACCATAGATCTCTTTTCAAAAACGCCTTGTATTCTTATTACCTTTAAAAGTATTATTTATATTGCATATTTAGGGTTTTATTTCGCTCTTTTCCCTTTTCCCTTGGAAACAATAAAGCGCGGTGGCGACTCTTGCTTTTGGGAGACGAATTAATCAATAATTCGATCTCCGATTTACCCCGCTACATTTTTTTTATCGCTACAGTGCGGAGATAAGAATGATCTAAAATCTACAGCTCGTTATGTCTTTATGTTCGGGGGAGCTACAATCTCTTGGTGCTCTAAAAAGGAACATGTGGTTGCACTCTCTTCTTGTGAGCAAGAGTATATCGTTGCGTCGATGTGTGTGTGTTAGGCTGTATGGCTTGTGAATCTGCTGAAGGAGCTAGGCAGCAGTGCAAAAAAAGTTGTCACACTCTTGGTTGATAATGTTTCATCCATCAATCTTGCAAGGAATCACATAGAACATGGGAGGAGAAAGCATATAGAGATGAGATTTAATTTCATGAGGGAGCTGGTGTATGCAGGCCAGCTGAGGTTAGGATACTATTGAAGCAAAGAACAACTTGCGGATTTATTGACGAAAGGCATGACAAATGATGTGTTCAAGAAGCTTGTGAGGAGTTTAGGAATGAAGGATGTTGAGCATTTGAAGTAAGGTGGTGTATTGGAAATTAGTATTAATTTAAACGCATTCTGGAAGCTTTTGTGTTCGTTTCGTGTAAAACAACTTATTTGAAAAGTACTTCTAGAAACTGAAGATTTATGTGTTTCAAAGAAGAAACCGGTTTCCCAGTTTGAGGAAACCGGTTTCTGTCATGAAATCTTAATTTTCCTATTTTGTCTTCTGTTGAGGAAACTGGTTTCTCTGTTTCAGGAAACCAGTATCCAGCACGACATTTTGTGTTTTTTGCTGTTTTTTCCTGGACAGTTCCTGAAGCAGTAAAGCGGCAAGCAAAAGTAAGTATTTTTAGTTTTATCATATCGTCTCCGCAGGGATTTGTGCTATTGAATTATCTTTCGATAATTTATCGCGTTTATGAGTTTGATTTTAAATGGTTTGTAAGGAAAGGATAATAACTATTGACAGAAAAATAAATACATTATTTGGAAAGGGGAAACTTATCTGACATGAATTTACACTACCCGTCACAAACTTAAACCTATTGATCAATTGTACTCAACATACTGTACTCGTCAAAATAATCACAGACACCACAAGATGTACCAAAACAGAGGTTATGTCTAACGCAAAGTTGAAGATGACTGTATTACTCGTGTTGATGATCTCTCAACGCGACACAAACAACACGGAGGCATTAAGCTCTGATACCCATAGTGATTATTAGCTCTAAATCTATCTCTAGAATCTAAAAACTAATAGATATTCATCCCTAATCAATATTTATAAGGTATGTGTCTATAACAATCCAAATCCAAACATAAAGCAAAAAGACCAAGGAAGACATCAATAATGATTTGGAAAGGAAGCTTTATACAACACCATAATCAATACATATACATATGTTCAAAGTAAATAAATATACAAAATGCAACAAATGAATAATACACAAAGAGGAAGAGAAATGAACCAAAAATCTCCCGATTTGTCAGCGCCGGTCGATGAGAAATCCACCCCGAATCATCTGTGTGTAAGCTCCAATGTTGTTTTCTAAGCTCTAAACTACCAAGAATGAAGGTTTGATGAGTCAGAAACAAATACCCCAAAAAATAGCCTAAAAATTATGTGTTTTGGCCTTTTTAACGTGTTTCTTCCCAGGATACCGCACTTAGCAAACAGAGCCCGCTAAGCGGTAGCACAAAAAACCAGATTTTGTTTCCGCCATAAATTGAGAATCGTAACTTCCATTTACACTCGGTTTGTAGTGTTGGAAAGCTTATTCAATGATCTATCTTAAAATTCCTAAATACCAACCAAATTTATTATTTTTCGCATCTTTGTTTTGAGCCTTCTTCTTTGATGAGTTTCTAAATATTGCATTCTTGAAGCTTAGCCTTTGGCCTTTATTACTCAATGCTCCAACTATGCATAAACTCATATAAAATAGATAGAAAACTATTAAACTATACATTATGTATACGAAAATATAAATATACACAAACTAAACGTATTTACAAACAAAGTGAGGATTTATTGCAAGAATATGAATAAAAGAATAGATAAGTGCCATAAAACTTATACAAAAAATGAAGACATTTTGGAACTTATCAACTCTCCCCAACTTGAAACAATGGTTGTCCTCAAACAAAGTCAAACAATCAAAAGAAACAAAAGCCGATAATCCAAGAATTACGAATCAACATGTTTTGAAAATGGAAAATAAATGTATTGTTCAAACAAAAACGCACACGCAAAGTAAATACTTACCCCAATCCTACAACGACAACATGAAAACGAAACAAATCCTAAGTACAAAAATCATGCTAAACATTTTAAGACAATACAAGCTCACATCATGAATCACACCTAACAAAAGTTCATCGAGGGATGAGAAACACACAAAGGTGAGGATTTGACACTCATCCAACAATCTTGCAAACAAAATACTAAATTATGCATTCATCCAAAAACTCATATTGAAAATACAAAGGCAAGAATCACAAGGGCTTTTAAAGGTTTTATTGTGGCTTGGTTAACAAACAGGAATAATTCCTACGGTTAATAGAAATAAAAACTTTTCTAAACCTAAGGGAGTAATCAATTCACCCAAGACTCAAGCAACAAAATTTCAATCAAACTTCTTCCAAATTCTAAATTTTCAAACAAAAACACCTTATTCGCCCAATTATTCGAACTCTTTTTGTTTTTCTTTTTCAAAGCTTTTCCATTTTTTTCTTTCTTTTTCTTTTCTTTTCTTTTTCACATTTTTTTCATTTTTATTTTTCAACACCTCATAGCAACCAACATATAAATGAGCAAACATTCTCTCCCAAACTTGAATTCAACCGCATTATCATGTAAATACTCCCTACATTCTAAGGCAAGGCAAAAATTCATACAACAATACAAAGTTGAGGGTTCAAGAAAAAAAACAATCAAAATCCATACAAAATGTGAATTCAATACTTATAGAAAAGCGTCAATTTCAAACAACATGGACAATGACAAAAGGCTCAAAGGGGTTACAAATGATCATACACTCACAAGGTGAATTGACTATTTAGCCATGTAGTTGTGCTCAAAATGAAACAAAATGCCTTGATCCTTTTCATGCATTCATATAATCAACACAAACAAAATATTAAGCATAGTAAAATCTAGTTAGAACAAGAATTGTAATCTCCATCATTTATGAACAATTAAAAGTTTTCTCACCTTTGGGGGTAAAAAAGAACTAAAGTGATTCAATCAAAAAGCAAGTAATGTAAAAGAATGAATGACATGGTAATTGTACCAATGAAAATTTTCTTAAACATTTTATGAAATAGAAAGCGATAAACGAGTACCTTGGATCATACAAACTTCAAAAACTATCATTACAATACATCCGCAAGTTGAAACAATCAAACTCGAAAAATCACCAAATGCAACCTCAAGCTACCGGACCAAAATTGGATGACAAACAACCAACAAAAGCATTAGAAGAATAATACTAATTATATTTAGTACAATAAAGCCTCGGTGAAATTGGGGGAAAATAGGGCCAAGTGAAACAAAAATAATTCACTGGCGCATCACAGCAAAGCGCACTAAGCGAGCTCTACCGCACTAAGCG